TTCGCCTTGACTCGTCTGCTTGTTAACTATCTAGAGTGATAGCACAGGCGTTAAAACCGTATCGTCGTTCTGTGTTACGGTAAACGAATAGGCTGTTCGTACATTGAAAACAGTAGAAATACAATATCTGAGTGTCTTGCATTTTTTCAGACGAGACTACCGGTGTATCTTTCCCACACGCCTTCCGGAACATCTACCAGAAACATGGTTCATTTCGGACAAGTATGACAAGCGCAGAAACCTCAATGAGTCATCATAAGGATACGATGATTTTTCAGATGATCAATAGCGACAAGTTCCAAAAATACGACTTCGGATCGGCCTTCCTGAACCTATATCATTACGGAAGGGTAGCTATGATTTACAGTTGTTGAAATTGTACAGTGAGGTTTTAAAGCTTACACCGCCGCTGTATGACGTAGGGAAGATCACCGTTCCGGTATCGTTGTTCTGGTCAGCCGAAGATTGGCTGGCTGATCCGCAGGACGTCGCCGAAGGACTGGTTTCGAAACTGAAAACATTGTTTTCCTCTCATTTCCTGCAAGGTTTCAATCATCTGGATTACATGTGGGGCATAAACGCGACTGAAGCCATATACAACGTTATTAGAGATGAAATCTACAACGACATAGTTTACAGTGCGGACAAAGATGTTGTCTCCCCCAACTCCTAACTCATGTTTTTCGTAGATCAACCTCAACGGTACTTTCGTTGAGTACTTTATCGTTGACTTATATCAGTTATGTTATTCAGATGACGCTTGAACGTCATATAGTAAAGAAACACGATTCCTAAGACTGAGTTGCTCCAAATCTACACGGATTTCAGTTGTTTTGTTAGTAGCGCCCGTTGGAAGTAGATTATTTACTGCGAATATTGATTGTTGTCATTTTAATAACTGAAACTCTGCATATTTTTCATAATGATACTTCATAAATTCTGATTAAACTATGGCTTTCTTTATTGTAGACAGTTTTTTGATTTCCATGATGTGTGTTGCTATATTTTGTTTGATAATGGTGTGGATATGGTCGCATAACATGAAACTTACGCCAAACAGGATCTTTCCAGGAAACCAATCTAGACATCCGCGTCATGAATAGTAGACGAAAAGCCAGGTCAAAACAACGTGTTCACGCATTGTCGTCATGACCATATATGTACGTCCATTCCGTGCTTTTCACGGCCAGGGACGTGATCAATTGAGGGAACAAGTGAAACCATTGATGGGTAGCATCGCTTTGATCGTGGCATTTGTTTTTTTGTTTTTGTTTCCTCTAATAGCCTTTGTTTTAATGAATAAACTGGTTTGCTAAAATTATATTATTTTATACATTCATCGCATACATATCAGAGAGGCAAGTTTACATTGTCAGAAACCCCTCTCAGAGTTGCCAAGTTTTCTTCCACTAGCCCCACGGGCATCAATTAATGATGTAAAATGCGAATTATGGTGGTTGACGCGTCCACAGATGGGATTGTTTTGGTCCCCCATGTTTGTGGTCAATGGCGCATCGACCTTGACTAGTACGAAACAGATGGAACGAAACCAATATTCTACGTTTTATTTCAAAACCCTTACGGTAGATCGTAGCCCTTTCTATCACCTGAATGAATAAACTACCATCTCTTTAGTAAACAGAAAATTAATTGAAAATTTAATTCACTTCCTATCGCATTCGGGTCCCAACGTCTAATCATTCCGTTAGACCGATTGTTTAAACACTTTCGCTATTGCCGTGGCGATGACTATCAGCGTCACTGGTTTAGCCGGCTCCATGGACCTCCTGAATCGCTGAATTCCTTCCCTGTCGACGACGCGCATTTCGCCACCAAGGTCAGTGCTTCCTTCTTCCACCGCTTCTGTCCGCACGCTGCCAGCCAAGAGAAGATTTCCATGTCATCTACGATCGCATCCACTTGAATTCGCTGCCTCATTTTCGCTAAAAGCCGGTATTGAGTTGACGTTCGCCACCGATATCCTTTGGCGGATGTCTCAGCACTTTCCACGGTCAACGAGGTTGCCGTCCCTCCAGAGCAGCAGAAAGTTAAGAGAGGTCCATGTTGCGCTGCAGCAACCCGTTACGGCGTTAGATATGCGGTCGACATGTTCTAGTTTCCTCACGTTTTCGAATATTCGACTTCAGCTCTGGCGTATATAAAAGAAGGTGGAACAGACGACACCCTGCAGAACACGAAATTCCATCTTTAGACTCACCACCTATCATTACACTATGCCTGAAAATACCTGGACGAAAACCGTTCTGCTTCGCTATTGGAAACGTGCCGTCCTCAACCGATTACCTATACGTCGCTTGTTGCAACACACAGCAAACTTCCTTACCTCAAACCATGTATAGTTGCTAATATTTCGCCGCTATCAAAGATGATTGATTGATTTTGAAACTTTCTGCTAGTTACTTCTTCGCAGTCAATCTTAGTTAATGATGGTAAAATTCCAGTCACAAATACAGGCAAATTCCAGGCACTTGTTACATACTGCCTGACTTATTTCTCGTATGTCCCAAGTTCAGTTGGTCAACTGTATTTCGTTCATACATGTACATTATTTATTTCACACTTGACTTCAAGTTGCTTGTCTTTTACTTATGCAAGAAAACAGGATTCAATGTGACCTTGTTCACACAAGCAATAAGCTGTCAACTTGTTTATCATTAATCAATTACTTGATATAGAACGCTTTGATAACAGAGTCCATATGACTCATTGTACACTCAACATATAGCATGCTAGTTCTAAAGGGGTGCTTCAGGTCTGATACGTGGTTTCGACTGTCTATAAGCAAAGCTAAAACAACCCTATGAATTACCAGTATATTTAACATGACGAATCATTGCAGCGATCGGCTTCAGTGAGTTCGTTGTTGAGTGGCTGTTCGGTGAGCGCCGTTGCTCTTGCTTACGTCAAATTTTTTGCCTGATCTACTTTGAGTTAAAAGTACGACAGATCTGATATCTTCCTAATAAATGAGTTTGAAGAAAGGAGCAGCCACTCGTTTTTTGCGAGTTGTGTTGTGTACCTAACTTCGAACTTGTTTGTACAAAAGTTTTCATCCTATATCAGAGCATATGTAGTAAATGTGACGCCAGTCTACCTCATGATTACTGCTCCTCCGGCAGTATGTCAACGGAACAACAAGATCATAAATAAACTCAAAAATTTCCGGATTTTCCGGTTGGCCATGGAACGGATTTAAACGAGCTGCCGCCTTACCATAACGTCTTAAGTGATTCAATACTGAAAGAACACCGTGTCCGTCGCTGCTCCGTGGAACTGCTGTTTACCGCGTTCCCTTCAAGGTAAGTTAGATATGTACGAGTCAGTGCCCGTCGCAAAATAATTTAGGTTGCGTAGGGTATGACATTTATGTAATCTGGGGGCCGGCCATTTCCGGGGAGAAACGGTAGAAGAATCACGGCTCGAACTTGGTAGTGGATATACCGTATGATCAACAGGATTGAAATACAGTAACCTGATACGTCATTCGAGTCGGCAAGCCAGTAACATTGGTAACCGAAACAACAACAGTTTCGCCTTGGCGTGTCATAAGGTCCTTTAATCACCCGTACTGTTCGCGATGAGGAAAAAGTGGCTCAAGTTCGTAGGTGATCCAGTCCAGCATGAGCCAGTTTGTGGAGGATGATACGTACAGATAGGGGGTATTAAAGTGTGCCATAAATCACAAGCAACTCTTGAGTGATGAAAGGCAACAGTACATAAATCACGTGTTCGCTCATTGTCACAAATAGTACTTTCTGCATTTGAAAATGGTTCCATTTTAGAACATGTTTGGACGTTGCGCATTGCTCAGTTTCTTGTTGATAGCGGTTTTCTATGAAGGTAATTATTTTCCATTATATAGTTTTAGGCAAAAACTAGGGACAATAATGTTATGGCAGCGTTTATTTTATTCTTTGGAAGCATTTGCATTTCCTTATGGTTGAATGTGTTGAAATTTATTGAATTATGGCATGGTGATTAGCACAAGTTTCAATTCTGTGTTGCTCCTCACAACGTTAGTCAAATTATGATTAACAATGTTTAAACTATGTCACTGTAAAATTAAAGCCAGAGGGTTTCAGACTGTACACGAGCATCGCCAGAACGGGCCGATTTCTCAGTTAAAATCTTCGTGCCACTTTTAACATATCTACATTTCTATTTACCGTGCAGAATAACTTTCGACATTTCTTAAGTATTCAAATTTAGGTTTTTTCATTAAATGAATTAGGTTTCTAGCCCTCCTCTCTTTTACTGATAGTTAATATCATAGGTTGGCCTGATTCCTACTAACCGAGTCTCTTTCAGGACGGCTGCGCGCAAAAGAAATTAGGTTTAAGGCAATCGCTTTTTCCTTCATGGAATTTTTGTTAATGTTTAATGCGGTTGCTTTCAGAAGAGTGATTTTCGTGTCTGTTCTTATGCTCCGGTTATTCCATGGTGACACAGGTTATGATAACTCGCCGATACCAGTACAGTACGTTGATTCAGTCAACGATCAACGTCGTTATCTATGGACGGTACACTTCAAAGATGGTTGAAATGGTTTTTCGCACTCATCGCAATACTACACGATTGCGTCCTAGGACTGACCTTCGCAACGGGCACTCAAATTGTCTGTCATAATGGTTGTGATTAAGCCCTTAACCAACACACTCAGCCGCAAGATGTCGCTGGTGTACTCAAGGCCATTTAGAGGGATCGCCGGATGTCTGGAGCTGCGTCACTGACTGGCACCCAATGTCTGATTGTAACTTAAGATGACCTTTCTCTGTATAAAATAATCCGACACATGAAGATGGACTAAGCTTAGGTCGAAACGTTCAGATTATGCAAAATGAAATTTCGGTACATAGATGACCTTTCGAATATCTGAAGACGAGAAAGCTTTGCGTAGCGATAACGAATTCAAGGAATGCATCTAAAACTCATAAATTATTGTTAATTATTATTAGCATAATATTGAAAAGCGCACATGATTTCTTTATGTGCGAAGTGATATAATCTTAAGGTAAGTCACCAAAGGGAAGTCATTATTTGCATAATATATGTAATTA